ATCCTACTGAGTGTCTGCCACCGCAATGGGGATAGCCCTAATGTGATTGGTCAAGTTGTCTAACAGGAGAGTCTCCAAAGTACCTATATCCCACAATCTATTTGGTAAAATGAAGTGACTGGCATTAGCCTGATCGTAATAACTTGGAATAACAATGCCTGGTGACGCCTCCACGAGATTGCCACCAACCCACCAATCCGATCAGAAGTTCAGGGAGTTCCCATTTCCTACTTTCCATTTGGCCCCTCTTAACACAACATCTCTATCCTTCAGAACACCTTTCCAACCCCAGGGCGCCTCAGCCCTGGCATTGACAGAAAGAAACTCCTCTCTTTTAATGTATTTCTCCTTCAGTGCATTAATCAACAATTTATCTGGGCAAACAGCGACTTTCCATGCCAACTTGGCCAAGAAAACAAGATTGAAATCCCTTGCTCTTCTGATTCCAATGTTCCCAGGACCTGGGGCTTATAGATATCATTCTAGTTGACGGTGTGATTTTTTTTGGAGTCCTCGACATGCCCCCATAGAAAATTCATGCATATCTTATTAATATTGTCACAAACACTGACCGGTAGGGCCAATGCCTGCATGGTATATGTTGGGACTGTGGCATAGGAGGTTTGAATAAAGACCCTCTTCCTTGTGATACTAATTAAGCGAACTTGCTTTCCAATAGGCTAGCTCTTTCCTCATCTTGCCAATAACTGAGGCAAACATGTGTTTTGAAACCCGTTTTTGCAAAATGGGGATGCCCAGATAAGAATTCATGTGAGACATGAGGGGATGTTAACATCTCCACAAATGCCACGTTTCGTACCTGCACTAGTGTTAGGTGAACAGAAAATTTGAGATTTAGATTGGTTTACCTTAGCCCGGAGGCTTTACCAAATCTATTCAGACAATCAATTATCACTTTAACTTGACGCTTAGTGGCTTCTCCAAATAGCATGAGGTCATCCGCGAAGAACAAGTGACAGATACCCACCCCTCTCGTGTGATAGTAATGGGTTTCCCGCCCCCTGCTACCACCTCGCGATGAATATCATCAACCAACCTTTCCATCACAAGGTTGAAGAGATAAGCGGCTAAGGGATCCCCTTGCCTCAGCCCCCGCCCATGAATAAATTAAAGGAAGAGATATGTTCGGAAACTCAGTGCATGCTAAGAAGAAATAGGAGAGTTGCTATTAACATAGAGAAGAGGTTCTTAGTTTACAAAGAATGAAATTGAATTATTAAACTTGGGAGAAGAGAGGGGATAAAGCTATATACATTCTACAGGGAGAAAGAGACGGTTATAACTACCATATGTGTGAAAATACCAGAAAGCCCCTCAGGCTTTTATTAACATAAAAGAATAGAAGATGCCTGGAGCTGTGGAATTAGTGAGCTGGTAAGCTGCTTCTAAATTGCTTCAAGTGAGCTGTTGATGCTTGCTTCATCACCCCCCGTAAGCTGGAGCATGGAGGTCTTGAAGGCCCGGGCTTTTGTAAGGCCAAGGCTTTTGTAAAGCCATATGCAGTCTGATTTTATGAAGAAACAGCAACCAACATGACTATCCCTTGATTGATCTTTTGTCTAACCACATGGAAATCAATTTCAATATGTTTAGTACGTTCATAGAAGACAAAATTTTCACTTATTGCAATGGCAAAATTATTATCACAATACAAAGCCACTGGGTTGTTGATATCTGCCTTCAGATCTGCTAGTAAGTACACCACCGACTGTATTTCACATGTTGTTAAAGCTAAAGCACTATACTCTACCTCAGATGATGATCTAGAAACAGTGGCTTGCTTCTTAGTTTTCCATGAAACTAAGGAATTCCCAAGATAAATACAATATCCAGTTATAGATTCCTGTTTTCCACACAAGTTGCCCAATCTGAATCTGAGAACCCTTACAACTTAATGTTTGGATTTGAAGAATAGAAAAGGCATTTCCCAGGTGCTCCCTTTAAATATCTTAGCACCCTATGAGTTGCTGTCAAGTAAGCATCCCTTGGTTTATCCACAAATTGGCTTAGTTGTTGGACAGGATATGATATGTCTAGCCTTGTATTGGTTAAGCACAGAAGTTTTCCAACCAGCCTTCTAAATATATCAGGCTTCTCAAGCAGAATTCCATCAATGTTGGTAAGTTTTGACATGTGACAGCAGGAGTTTTGGCTGGTTTAGCCTCTAGGAAACCATATTCTTCCAGGATCTCTAGGGCATATTTCCTTTGACAAATGTTTATGCCATCATGAGTTCTGAAGGCCTCAATGCCTAAAAAATAATTCAAATGACCCAGGTCTTTGATTTTGAATTCCATATCCAATAGCTGCTTTAATTCATCAATTTGGATAGAATATGTACCTGGCAATAAGATATCATCAACATACACCAATAATGCAATGAAGGAGGTTCCTGTCTGTTTGGTGAATAATGAAGGTTATGCTAATGATTGCTGAAAGCCATGAACTTGTAGGGCCTTAGTTAACTTTGAATTCCACTTCCACTGTCTACTTGCTTGTTTTAGGCCATACAATGACCTCATGAGTTTGCACACCTGATTGGACTTATCAGTTTGAAAGCCATGTGGTAATACCATATACACTTCATCCTCCAAATCTCTGTGCAAAAATGCATTGTCGATGTCAAGTTGCTGAATATCCCAAGCCTTTGCAGCAGCCACAGCAAAAAAAAAAAAAAAATGTCTTGATTGTAGTCATTCTAGCCACAGGGGAGAAGGTTTCAATGTAGTCCACACCTAGTTGCTAAGTATAGCCCTTGGCAACTAGTCTAGCCTTATATCTTTCTATAGAGCCATTTTCTATATGCTTCACTTTGTATACCCATCGACAACTAATGGGTGACTTACTAGCTGGTAGGTCTGTCAGGGTCCAAGTGTTGTTCTGAATCAATGTTTCTATCTCAGCTTCCATGGCTTTTCTCCATTCCACATGCCTTACTGCTTCTTGGTAGGACTGGGGCTCATGAGAGGAAGAAATAGAGGATGCACAAACTCTGTGAGCAGGAGGTAAATTCTAATAGGAAATGAACTTCCCTATAGAGTGAGGTGAAGTCCTAGCATCTGCTTGATTGGATGTGGCAGATTGACAAAGGCAATCTTGCAGTCTGGGAGGAATGCTTCTCACTCTCATGGACCTCTTGGGTTGTTGCTGGTCATTATGATCACCAAGAATGCTGAAGTGATTCTTAGGCTGTGGCTGTTCCTCATGACGGTAATTATGACCATTGGAATAGTTCCCAGACTGTGACTGCTCAGTGTGGGTATCTGGTGAATGAGTAATAAGGTGTGGTTTTTCAATATGTCCTTTTGTAGGATGGTCATTCAACAATTTTTTTCTGACCATTTCACTAGCTTCATTAGTACTAGCATTTCTCCTAGATAGCTCTAATGAGGTGGTTTCTGCTTCCACATAAATTGGAACCAAAGACATTGGAGGATCAAACATAAATTGGAACCAAATATGACATCCTTGGAAACAAAAGCAGTTTTATCAGTGAGATCAAACACTATATATCCTTTTACATCAGCAGGAAATCCCAAGAAGATGCATTTCTTAGCTCTTGACTGCATTTTGTTCCTTCCCTGTAAGATGGTGGCAACAAAGCATAGACATCCAAAGGACCTCGGTTGGTTGTAATCTACACATCTTCCATACAAAATCTTAGAGGGGGTGTTACCCTCTAGGACATCAGTGGGCAGCATGTTTATAAGATAAGAAGCATGCAAGACACAATGACCCCAAAAAGTATCAGGCAGTTCAGATTGAAATTTTAGAACCATGGCTATATTTAAAATATGTTTATGCTGTCTTTCTGCCACCCCATTCTGTTGGGGTGTATACACACATGATCTTTGATGAACAATTCCCTTCTCATTAAAAAAGGTATTCATTAAAAACTCATTTCCATTGTATGTTCTGACTATTTTAATCTTGGCACCAAACTGAGTAGAAACATAGTTATAGAAATTATGAAATATGGACCTGACCTCTGATTTATGTTTCATTAGATGCATCCAAATAAACCTACTATGATCATCAACAAAGGTCAGAAAATAGTGCTCTCCTTTAAGAGATGTCACGGCAAAGTGACGCCAAACATCCATGTGTATTAGATCAAAGCATTTCTCAGATTTGGTATTGCTAACAAGAAATAAAGACCTCTTATGTTTGGCAAAATGACAAATATCACAAACAAAATCAGAAGCTATGTGAGGGGATGCAAATTTCACTCCCTTTAACAATAGTATCTTATTCATGCGGTAATGGCCTAGTCTATTATGCCATATCTCAACAGACAAACTGCTACATGATGTTTCAGAGGTTTTATCAGTAAAGTAGGCTTTCTTCTTGACAGGGGGGTCGGTGATCAGGTACAGTCCATCTTTTTCTTTAGCAAAACCATCCACCATCCCAAGATGGCCCTGAATATTACAGTAATCAGCCCCAATAATAATCTCATATCCTGATTGTCTTATTAGTTTGCTAGCAGAAATAATATTGAAGGAAAAAGATGGAATGAACAACACATTTTTCAGCAATATATTCATATGAAGCTTGTTATCCCCTATGTGTGTGACATTGACTATTTCCCCATTAGGAAATTTCACCAATATCCCATGAACAACACAGTAAGATTCAAAATAATCCAAGGAACAAGTGATATGGTCTGTTGCCCCAGAATCTAAGATCTAGACATCAAGAGAATTCAGGACAGTATTGATATGGGGATTAGAAATGAACTTGCCTTCATTGTGCTTCTCCATAGGTTTTCTGAAGCCTGATTTGATTCAAGTATTAGACACAGTTACAGTTGCACTGTTGGAAGGACGATTCCCTTGATTTTGATTTTCCAACAAGGTTAGAAGCCTCTGGAACTGTTCAGCAGTAAGGCCAACATCACCAACCTGGTTCATAGAGACACTTGAAACCTGATGTGATTCCTGAGCTTATTTGCCTTTAGACTTGTAACCTGGGATCCATCATGGAGGAAAACCATGCTTCTTGTAGCATTTTTCCACCGTGTGTCCAAGCATTCCGCAGAATGTGCATTTAGGCACATTCTTCCCTGAGCTGCTATTGAACTTTTTCTTGTTATAAGAAGTTGAAGCAGCTACAACAGTTTGGTCTTCTGCACAGTGGTCAGGTGCATTTTGAACAGCATTCGACTGAATCAGATCAGGGTTCTTCACATTGCGAGAACTTTTGAGCTTTCTCTCCATTTTTGGAGCCATGTTAAGGACCTTTTCCATGATCGGGATGGGATCCATAACCAATATTCCAGACTTAATGTTCTCATATTTTTCGTTTAGCCCTTCCAAAAAATGAATTATCTGATCTTCCTCTTTTTCTTTTTGAATCTTACTGATGAGAGCACATGAACACTTTGGTATGCATCCGCACTTTGGAATAGGCCTCATAGCATTCATTTGCACCCACAGAGCATAAGATTTTGTGAAATACTCATTGATAGAAAGACTACCTTGAGTGCACCTGTAAATCTCATTCTGCAACTCGGCAATTCTGTGAGCATCGACCTGAGAGTACCTCTTTTTAAGAACATTCCAAATGTCAGCCGCAACTTCGAAGTACAGCACTCCTTCTGTAATCGTGGAGCTGAGGGATTTAAAGATCCATGAGCGCACGATATTGTTGCATCTCCTCCAAATCGGAAACCTAGGATCGGATTCTCCAGGATTAACTATGCTTCCATCGACGAAACCATACTTGTTCTTGACCTCAAGAGCAATCCTCATGGATCTGCTCCAGGACGCGTAGTTGACTTTCAATAGCAGTGGAGAGGCAAGAATAGGGTTAGGATTCTCAGTTATATGTAAGTACATATGGTCGTCAAACTCTTCTACACGCTGAACGGAACTTGGATTCGTCGGAATCTGGTTCAAAGGAACTTGATCAATGAAATTCTTGTCGTCGTTCTCAGTTTCCGCCATGACTGCCGCGGCGTAACTCCAGTGACGCTCTGATACCATGTTCGGAAACTCTGTCCATGCTAAGAAGAAACAAGAGAGTTGTTATTAACAGAGAGAAGAGGTTCTTGGTTTACAGAGAATGAAATTGAATGATTAAACTTGGGAAAAGAAAGAGGATAAAGCTATATACATTCTACAGGGGGAAAGAGAAAGTTATAACTACCATATGTGTGAAAATACCAGAAAGCTCCTCAGGCTTTTATTAACATAAAAGAACATAAGCTGCCTGGAGCTGTGGAATCAGTGAGCTGGTAAACTGCTTCTAAATTGCTTCAAGTGAGTTGTGGAGGTTTGCTTCATCAAGATCTCCCATTCCAGATGATCAAAATACACCTCTCTCTGAGGGAAAATAAGATGAGCTCAATGAACCGAGTCGAGAATCCAAACCCCCTCAAAGTATCATAAAGAAAATTCTAATCTACACTATCATAGGCTTTCTACAGATCAACTTTGACAGCCATCAACCCTCTACACCCCCGTTTCGTGCTCATATGGTGGATGACCTCCAGGGTGAAGATAACATTATCAAGAGTGGACCGTCCCAGCAAAAAACTGTTCTGGTGAGGCCCAATAATTTTGCACATGAGAGGTCTCACCTGGTTAACCAACACTTTAGACACTATCTTGAAAGCCACATTGAGAAGTGAAATCCATCTGAAGTCAACTGCAGACTCCGAGACATCCTTTTTGGGGATGAGCGTGATGAAGGCATGCAAGAGTTGACTCGAGACCCTATCGCTCTCTAATGCCTAGTTGACCATCTCCACGAAAGTGAGTCCCACGGTCCCTACAGAAATGTTAATAGAAAGTTATCGGAATTCAATTAAGTCCTGGCCGAATTTCTTCATGCCAAAGATTGCCTTCTTTACTTCCTCAAATGTTGCCTTCCTCATTAGACTATCGACCTGAATCCTAGAGATTTTGCAAGAATCTACCACTAGCCTCATATCCTCACCTCCATCCAAAGTAACCCAGTCGTTTCTCTAAAACATTGTGTTTCATTTATCTACTCAGAGATAATTATAGCGGAGGTCCCTTGTCTTTGGTGCCAATTCTAAATTTATTCTCAAATTATCATTTTTGCCATTTAACACCCCAAACTATCATATTTTGAACAACTTTTGTCATTTCGATGACTTTTTCGATTAAACACTATTTTAGGCAAAGATATTTTCGTCTCTTTATTTTTTTATTATTTTTCCAATGAGTTAATTTCAACGGATGTCTCTTATCTTTGGTGGCAATTCCAAATTTAGTCATTGACTTCTCCTCCTCCTCCTCCTCCTCCTTCGCATTCTCCTCCTCCTTCGCATTCTCCTTCTCCTTCTCCTTCTTCTTCTCTTTCTCCTTCTCCTTCTCCTTCTTATCCTCCTTCTCCTCCTTCTTCTCCTTCTCCTTCTTCTCCTTCTTCTTCTCATCCTTCTTCTTCTTCTTCTTCTTCTTGGAATATGTGCATACTAAGTTGAAATTTATTATCATGTGTGCATTTGATATGTTTGTGTTATCGACATTTATTGTTGGTTGTGTGTTTTAACTTTTATGCGTGATAACTTTGGTTGTGCATTTGATATGTTTCTGTTGGAATTTATTGCACATGCCACCAATCATACGCCCTCACACCTACGCATGAGAGTCAAAAATACAAGTTCCGAAAAGAACAATACAACATCTAATATGCACATACTAACCACTCCAAATGCACACCCCTAATCCAAAAAAAAATTAAAAAAAAAAACAAAAAAAAACATATAGTTGTTTTTTATTGGTTATCTAATTCCCAGATTTTTGCACATGCCCAATTGCACAAACACACACCTCTGCATAAATCAAACCCAGTATTATGCACACGTCCAATTGAAGCAACGCACACACCAACAACACAAGAACATATACACAATCATGCCCCACATCAAACACCACACATCCCATCTCTGCACTACCACATTTGAGCATTACCCACCACTTCATAAGCACACACTAACCTCTCAAAACACCCACGCCTCTACATAAATGAAACACATTTTCTTCTGTTGGAATGGTTACCTAATTCCCAATATTACGCACACGCCCAATTGAAGCGACGCACAAACCAACAACTCAAAAACATATACACAATCACGCCCCACACGAAACAACCCATAACCTATCACAACCCGCTTAGACTTTACACACGCCCACCTACATAAGCGTACCCACCAACGCATCACAAATAAATATAAACATAAATGTAAACGACAACATGATGCAAAGTTTCATTACCCTACGCGTCATATGCACCCACTACCCACCACAAATTTTTCGGTAATACCATATACCAAACTCAAATAGGTGTGTCTAATTGGATACGTAATTCCCAGAAATTTGCACACGTCATACCACACATACGCATACACCGCCACAACATAAACCTAAATAAATTTACAGATGTACTTATCGTAAGTTTCAATACCCTACGCGTCATATGCACCCACTACCCATCCCAGATTTTCTAGGAATACCATATACCAAACTCAAATAGGTGTGTTTAATTTGATACGTAATTCCTAGAAATTTGCACACGCCATACCGCACACACGCACACACCACCGCAACATAAACCTAAATAAAAATTACAGATGCATTTTTAAAAACCCAGAATAAAAAATAAAATTAATTATTTCCGTGGTTAGGATCCCTTATAATATGGTAAAGATTTTATTTCAATTATGACCAAAATTAAACACCATAATAGATATACACTTTCACCATTCTCTTTTATTTATATCTTTAATTAATTAGTATTTGACTTTCAATCATATCCATCCATTGGAAATTTAGTAATAGATGAGATGAGATCTCATCTATCAAGGTGATCTCATTGGCCCATATATATATATATATATATATGCTCAGATTGAGAAGTGAAAGAAGCTATGAAGAAAGGAGAAAAAGTTCTTAATTTTGTCTGCTACTATGGTATTTCTGCTCAATATGGAAGAAGGTATATATAGCAAGAAGCTCCAACAACCTTCCCTATGTAGACGACACAATTAGCATAATAGAGCAATCGTTATGCCATGGAACCGTGTTCACCATTCATGGTGAACACGATCCCAACGGTGTTAGTGCACCGTTATCTTTTTTTTTTCCTCCTTAATTAATCGCGTGACTTTTCTTCTTCATTTTCACATTTCGCGATTTTACTTTAATTTGAGGTGATCAATGATTTCGGACATTCATAAATTATGAATCCATGCCTGCACATTCACTTTGGAATCATGCCTACACATTCCCGTCCGAAACCATGGTTGCTCCTCTGTAGCGCAAGCTTCTTCAACATTCATAAATTATGCATTTTCTGTTATGAGATTATGAATTTTCTATTATGAGATTATGAATTTACAGTAAATTCATAATCTCATAACAGAAAATTCATAATTTAATAAATGTTTTTCTTTTATGAGATTATGAATTTTCTGTTATGAGATTATGAATTTACAGTACATTCATAATCTCATAACAGAAAATTCATAATCTGACCAAACGCGCGTCGTTAACATCACATTCGCGAATTTTTTTTTAACGTAAAAACGGCGCCGTTTGGATCCGTGTTCACCATTCATGATGAACATGTTTCCAGTGCATAATTTGCGATAATAGAGAGAGTGGATCGCGATCTCTACGTCTCAAAGACTAGTGGACAACTAACGAGAACAATTTAGTTAGATGCGATCCAAAAAAAAAGAAAAAAAAAAAAAAAAAAAAAAAAAAAAAAAAAAAAAAAAAAGAGAACAAGCCTTCTTTCTTGAATGGTTTTTCCCAACAAGGCAGTAAGAGTGCCTTCATCATCTTCCACCTTCTCCAGCAACATAGACACAATGGCGATGTGGTCATTGGCAAGATATAGATTGAGAAGTGAAAGAAGCTATGAAGAAAGGAGAAAAAGTTCTTAATTTTGTCTGATGTTATGGTATTTCTGCTCAATATGGAAGAAGGTATATATAGAAAGAAGCTCCAACAACCTTACCTATGCAGACGACACAATTAGCATAATAGAGAGAGTGGATCGCGAATGTCTCTACGTCTCAAAGACTAGCGGACAACTAACAAGAACAATTTAGTTAGATGCGATCCAAAAAAAAAAAAAAAAAAAAAAAAAAAAGAACTAGCCTTCTTTCTTGAATGGTTTTTCCCAACAAGGCAGTAAGAGTGCCTTCATCATCTTCCACCTTCTCCAGCCACATAGACACAATGGCGATGTGGTCATTGGCAAGATAATTTTATTAGCTATCTCTTTCGGGTTTTTTTTCACAATGATATTAATGTCAGATCCTCGTTCTGAAGCTCTGCTATGGTTTTGTATTCGTTTAGCTTGGGGAAACCATTGTTTGACTATTTTGATGAGGAAACATCTGATTTAAGTTATTAAATGTGAAAGGATAAAACTACCATTAAGAAAACGGCTTGAGACAGTCGATTCTAACGGAAGGGACTGTAGATGGCTAGAAATTGAAAGTGGGAAGACTGGGAGTGGAAGATTTAAAAGTTGATAACTAAAAGTGGCGGTGCCACCAAAGTCGGAGGACGCCTGTTGGGGCCTACAAGAGTTCAGCCAAGTTTAAAGGGGACGCGATGAATTATGTGTGCACTCCTGGGGCTGTCCGGGAATTCCTCAAAACTGGAGCTGGTTAAGAGGCGGTCGAGGCCGAGGCGCATGTTGCTTTTAAAATTGGGATGTATACGAAGCAACAGCAGATTTTTCCAGTGCTGAGAGAGAAGGTTCCGAATTTTGACCCCGTGGTACTTGGCTTGCCCGTCATAGAGAAGAATCCTGACCCTGATGTCCAGAATGAAGTCGCCGATGATGTTACCGATGCTTGTGAGGATTCTTTGGTGGACGCGTTTCATGGCATCGACACCAGCAACGTCCCCGATGTTCCACTTGATCAGATTGTGATTGAGGACATCACGGACAACGAGTAGTTCTGTAGTCGTACTTGAGATTTTTTCCTTGCTTCCCAGCTATATCTTTGAATAATTTGTTTTTCTATGTTCGAAATAAAACTTGCTACTTTCAGAATATTCAGAATAAACCTATTACTTCGGAATAAACTTGCGACTTTGAATTTTTTTTTTTTTGTGGGGCCGAGACGGACTTCGGCGTTGGCCGAGGCGTGTACCTCGGCCAATTCTTCGGCCGAGGCGTGCGCCTCGGTCCTGCCTTCCCTTTTCTTGTTTTGTTTTTTTTTTTTACTAACTTTAAGCAACAACATGGGCGGACCATGAAAACAAGATATTATTTCAGAAAGCTTCGTAAAGGACGATAACGAACTCGCTTCAATAAACAACATGGGCAGACCATGAAAACAAGATATTATTTCAGAAAGTTTTAGCATGTAGAGCGGACGGAGCGCGATTACCAAGTACTAGTCCCAGGCGACTACCACTATAGGATATTAAGGAAAATACTTAATCAAATGTTCCAAGTTCCATACCCGATCGATCATCCTTCCTCCTGTCGTTTTTAACTTGTATGTACCTGGGCGAATGATCTCTTCCACGACGTAAGGCCCCTCCCATTTCTTTGCGAATTTTCCTCCTTCCAGGGGTTGGCTAGCTTCCCTTTTTCGCAACACGAGGTCGCCGACTTGGAAATATCGGGGTTGGACTTTTGCGTCGTGGTAGGACTTTAGCTAGCGACTATAGTTCTCCATTTTGCAGAATGCCGCTTCTCTCTTTTCATCTAAGAAGTTTAGATCAACCCTTTGGTGGAGTTCATTCTGTTCTGACTAGAACTCCTCCACCCTTCTAATAGGTATGATCACTTCCACCGGGACCGGAGCTTCGAATCCATAAGCGAGGGCGAATGGGGTTTCTCCGGTGGCCCATCTTGGTGTCGTGCGGTAGGCCCAGAGGATGCCATCGAGATCTTCCACCCAGGCTCTGCTGGCTGCTTCTAGCTTTTTCTTGGGGTCGTCGAGGATGGTTCTGTTCGCATTTTCCACTTGTCTGTTCGCCTGAGGATAAGATACCACCACTCGGCTATGCTTAATGCCCCATCCTGCTAGGAATTCTGAAAATTCTCGTGCCTCGAACTGACGACCACTGTCTGTGATTACTTGGAGAGGGATACCGAAACGATACAGAATGTTCTTCTCGACAAAACTTTTGCACCTTGCTGCGGTGATGCTTGCCAGGGGCTCGGCCTCCACCCACTTCGTGAAATAGTCGATGGCCACAATGATGTACTTCCTGGTTCCAGTCCCCGTGGGGAGGGCCCCTACTAGGTTAATTCCCATCTTGAAAAAGGAATCACGGTGCTTACCAAGGTGTAGTTTATCGCAGGTCGACCTGGTAGTGCCTGGAATTCTTGGCATTTGGGACATCGCTTTGTATACTCGGCTCAGTCCCTTAGCATTTTGGGCCAAAAATACCCTTGTAACATGATGCGACGTGCAATGGTGTACGCACTTGGTGCGTGGAGCATACCCCCTCGTGGACTTCTTTCATCACCAACTTGGCTTCATCTGGGTATAGACACCTTAGTAACGTGCCGTTGTAGGAGCGTTTGTATAGCTTATCGCCCGAGACGATGTAGCTGGGTGCCCGCAATTTTGTTACCTTTGCGTCTGCCTCGTCTTGCAGTAAGGAGTCATCTTCCTTGTATCGCTTGATATGGTCAATCCAACATGGTTCCCTAGTCTGCACAGGGAAGGCCCACGAGACATCGATACTTGAAGTCTCGAGGTCTTCTAGCCGAGCGATCTTCCTGATGTGGTTGAGGACTCCGATACTTAACTTGGAGAGCATGTCGGCGTCGGCGTTTTGCTCTCTTGGTACCTGGTGTATTTCATATCCCTCAAACTCGCGCAAGGTTCTTAGCACCGCGTCTCTGTATTTCTGCATGCTTCCTTCACTGGCTTCATACTCCCCCGACACCTGGCTGACTACCAACTTGGAATCTCACCGAATTCGAACCTTTTCAGCTCGTAATCCTGCCGCCAACCGCAGTCCATTGAGGAGGGCCTCATACTCTACCTCATTGTTAGATAGCTTGAAGTGGAATCGGATGGCATAGTAGGCGCGGAATCCCTCCGGAGTGACGAGTACTACGCCGCCGCCGCAACCTTTGCTATTGGAAGAACCATCTGTAGACAAGGTCCACCACCCTCCATCTTCAGTTTCTACCTGGTCCGTCACTTCCCGGGCTGTGCCCTCTACTACAAAGTCTGCAAGAGCTTGGCATTTGATGGCGGGCCTCGGTTTGAAGTCTATGTCGAACTGACTGAGGTGCATGGCCCATTGTGCCATCCTGGCGGAGCTGTTAGTATTCCGAAGGAAGCTTCCCAACCGGCGAAGGTGCATTTTTTTGGGTTCAAGCGCAAATGAAATTTCTTCATAATGGAAAATACCTCGCTGAGATCCTCGACATGAGAGGTGGCCTTGCGACTTTTGACAATCATGTCGTCCAGGTATGCTTCTATGTTTCGTCTTAACAGCGTCTTAAACAGCTTTGCCACCATGCAAGTGTATGTGGCCCCGGCATTCTTCAATCCGAATGGCATGACCAAGTAGCAGAATATCCCCACAGAAGTGGTGAAGGCGGTCTTCTCGCCGTCCTCCTCATGCATGGATATCTGATGGTACCCACGGAAGGCGTCCATGAAGCTCATAAGTTCACATCCTGCCGTCTCATCCACCAACTGATCTATATTAGGTAGTGGAAAACGGTCCATAGTGCATGCCCTATTGAGGTCCGTGTAGTCTACCCACATCCTCCACGTTGATCCTTTGGGAGCCAAGACTACTTTGCTCAGCCACTGCGGATAGTAAATTTCTTTGATGTGCCCCATGTGAAGCAACGCGGCCACCTCCTTTCTCACGAACTCTCTCCGTTCTGCCGACATATACCTTTTTCGCTGATGCACCGGCTTTTCGCTGGGGTCGACTGCGAGCTTGTGGGTTATGATACTTTGATCTACGCCTGGCATGTCCTCTGGCCCCCATGCGAACACCGCGCGGGAGCGGCTGATTACATCCACTATCTAGGCCCTTAGCTCTGGACTTAAGCCTATGCCGATCTTCACCACTCGATCTGGGTCTGGAGGGATGTAGAACTATATCTTCCGTTTCTGATACGGGCTCGGCGCGGGCCAGGCCTCTTCTTCTTTGAAAAATTTTCTCCGCGATCGTGTGGGCCTGTAGGTCCTTACTTCCAATCTTCTTGCATGCCTTTACGTAGCAACTGCGGGCTGCTCGCCGATCTCCTCTGACGGCTCCTATCCCATTCGGAGTAGGGAACTTCATACACAAGTGTTCCACCGACACTATGGCCTTGAGGTCCTCCAGTGCCGGCCTCCCCAATATGATGTTGTGCGCACAAGTGAGACTTACCACGATGAATTCCATGTCCAGCTTGCGAAGGTTGGGGCTCGTGCCTATCTCCACGGGTAAGACCACCGACCCTTCGGTTTCCACCGAATCCCCAATAAACCTAGAGAGTGGAGTTTGTACCTCTTTGAGCTGGCTCCTAGGTAGCCCTAACTTGGTGAAGGCGTCATAGTACATCACATTGACCGAGTTTCCCATGTCGACTAGGATGTGATATACGATCATATCATTGATGTCCATCTTAATCACCAGTGCATCGCGATGGGGTAGGGGGGCCTTGGGGAAGTCCTCGTCAGAGAAAGTGATGGCCTCCTGCCTCTACTTCTTTCCTTTGGGAAGACTTACCACTTCTCCCACGTACAGCTGTCTGCTCCACTTCTTCCTCTCTGCGGGTGTGTCGCCCCCCGCAGGTCCACCATAGATAAAGTGTATGGTGTACTTCTTTTGTCGTCTGGGCGCCACCTCGGTTTCCTTCTCGCTATCATCCTGCTCAGATATTTGGTCGTGTTCTCTTTTTTTGGTGTTCGAGGTGGACGGCTCGGCGCCATCCTCCTCCCTCCAGACATTTTTTGGTGGATTGTGTTGCGGATGTTGCTGCTGCTTGGATCGCTTGACGAAATGTTGGAAGTAGCCCTGCTGGATGAGTTCTTCTATTTGTCTCTTCAGCACGTTACATTCATCTGTGCAGTGCCCAGGTTGCCTGTGGAACCTGTAGTACTTTGTTTGGTCTCCTTTCGGGGAGACCTTCATGCACTCTGGTGGGAACTCCACTATTCTCATCTCATCAGCCTGCTTTAGAATGACACTGACGGGATGGGTAGGAGGGGTTAAATTGCGCAAGGGGACCAGGCGAGGTCGTTCGTGGTCTCGGCCTTTCCCTGCGGTCGGGTGGTTCGAGCATGGTGCCTGGATGGGCGGACCAGCTTTCCCAGGCTTCTCACCTTTCCTACCATCCTCTTTGTCCTTCTTCTTCTTGTCGACGTCCTCTGCTTCGGCATAGCGGCTAGCCGTCCTCATTAGATCTTCGTAAGAACGGGGGTGGTGGGCGTTCAGCTGCTTGTGGAAATACCCCGATCTTAAGGCATGGATAAATATCAGGATCGCCGCCTTGGAGTTGAAGTCGTAGACATTATTGACTTCCTTTTTCCATTTCATCATGAAGTCTTTGAGGCTCTCGCCCCTATCTTGCTTTACTACACAGAGGTGAGAGAAGGGTTTCTTACGATGTATGCTACCGGAGAAGTATGTCAGGAAGCTCTTGGACAACTCCCCAAAGTTTTGGATCGACTCATCCGGGATGGAGTTGAACCAGTCTTGGGCTGCTCCATCCAGGGTGGACAAGAATGCTCGGCACATGATAGCGTCCCTTGCCCCGATCATTACCATAGTAGCCTTATATCTCGTCATGTGGACACGTGGGTCAGTGGCCCCCGTGTACGCCTTGATGGCAGGCAACTTAAAATCCCTCGGCAAAGGTACATCCATGATGCTTGGGGAGAATGGTGCTGCCACCCGTACCTCGGGTTCCGGCGACTGCTCCCGTGCCTCCACCCTTCTTGCTAACTCCTCGATTCTTCTTTGCACCCTCTCGACCAGGGCCGAATCGTCAGGGTGCCGGCGCGGGGCCAGCTGCCGCTCCTCCATGTGTCAACGTGGGGCTAGCTCATCGACGGGCCGCTCGCCCAAGTGTCGGCGTGGAGCCGGCTCATCGACGTTCCGTCTATCTGAGTGTCGACGCGGAGCTGGTTCCTCGACGTGCCGTCCATCTAAGTGTCGACGCGAAGCTGGTTCCTCGACGTGCCGTTCATCCACGTGTCGGTGTGGAATCTGCTCATCAGCGCGTCACTCGTCCTCCGAGTGCCGACGCGGAGCCGGCTCATCGACGCGTCGCTCATCCGAGTGTCGACACAGGGCCGACTTGCCACCATGCCGGCGCGGGGCCAGCCCACGAGACTCGCCCATCCTCTCTGTGGGTGATCTTTCTGCTTCTCTATCTTCGTGCCAGCGAGGGCCTCTAGCGGAGGACCCCTCGGCCCGTGACTCTAGCCTTTGCCGCGCGGGCGCCCCGTGTCCCAATCGTTCCAGGGCAGAGCGGGAGGGTCCTGGTTGCCGTCTGGCCGGTCCACTTCTTTGGGTGCCCTCCCCTGGACCCCCTGTCCTGATACGACGTCCTACGTCCCTCGCTGCACTGGTTGCGTCCTGCTGGGCATCTACCCTCCGCGGGGATTCTATCTCTATTTCCTGAGGTCGCGGAGGGGCCGCTTGGCCTTGTAGTCCCACCGCCACCTGATTTTGCGTCATCGCTGCTTGCTGAATGGTATCGGCGGTCGCCTGGAGGTTCACAGCTTGGTTTGCCCCTCCATTGTTGAGTTGGCCTCGAAGGTCCCTGTGCCTCCCGTTGTTGAGCTTTTCTCGGAGGTCCCCTCCACGATTTTTGGTGAGTTGGTTCCGGTGGTCACCTGAGACATTGTCGTTGTTCACGTTGCGGGAACCGTGGGAGCTGTGGGACGCCATTCTTCCAAGCTTGCTATTGAAAGAGGGAATGAGTTGTATGTGTCGTTGCCTGCTTGAGTGTTGGACTCAGGCTCTCAATGAAAGCACCAATGACGGTAAATATGTTACCGGAAATATAATATCAGAATAACGGATTGTTGTATTGCTTAGTCTTTTAGTATAGAAAGTACATTGTCCTTTGCTAGCTGAGGAGAGCCCTATTTATACCAAGTCCTAACGGTAACAACATGGGACATAAGTGGGGAGCCTAAGCCTTTAATTCACTCTCATCAATGGTGGCTTCAATGGCAGTAAAGGTGACACCTGTTGAAATTCTGTCGGTTGGAGTTTTGCCCGTTGGGTTTCCATGTGGTGTCGGGTCAAATATGGTGTTAGGTCAAATGCCCACTTATGATCCGGGTCGGGTGCCAGCCCTATTATCCTGTCAGCATAATTATTGTATAAAAATAAATTACCGTTCAAATGAGTACACAAGATAAAATACATGTTCATTGCACGGAATCTTAATATTAATTGAGTTGCCAAATCGTATATTGCATAAGAATTATTCTTACCTTACTATTTATAATTACAAATTTATTCCGAAATTCAGAAAATTAAATAAGTTAGAAATCTAATTTTAAGTATATACTTCCGGTTTTTTCATTTTTAATTTATACAACTAATTTATTAATTTATATACACAATTTTTTGCTGCTTATAATAAAATAACTCACTAAAGTTTTTTCAGTAAGCAATTACTCTAAGCAAATAATCCGTAATGTTCACTGATATACTTTACACAGTTTAATCATTTTTTATTTTTATAATTTCTAATTTATTAAATAATATATATATATATATATATATATATATATATATATATATATATATATATATATATATATATATAATTAGATAAAGCTTATTGTGTGACCAAACAATTGGTAATATTTACGATTTATTGAAACAATTAAAAACAAAATCCTATTTACTTGATTTCACACCTAAACAATAGTAAA